AAGGTTTCCAGCTGGAAAAAGCAACACCCTAAGGATCCTGTGACAGAGCTGTATAATCTATGTGCCCAGAGCTCACTGGGTCTCTGGACACCAGTTAGTGAGCTGATCCCCTTAAGACTATTTATCATTTAATAAATTGATTTTCCCAAGGCTTAAACATGGGGTGTCCAGGAGGCAAACAAACCTTGCCTCTCTGCTCATTTAAGTCTATCTGAGCCAAGATGTCAGTTGCTTGCAGCCTAAATCATCTTCATCCTTACTGACACCTGTGACTTTGGTACCATCTATGTGCCCACAGCATCCAAGTGACTCCTCCAAATCTTGCCACCACCCTCTCCTGCCGGGGCCACCACAGGTGCCTCCTAGCTGGAGGCATCATCACTCTGGCTATGTCTGGCCCATTATTCACACTGCAGCCAGGTGATCTTAAAACAAATATGATTAGGTCACTCTCCTGCTAAAAGCCTCTTGGGAGGTTTATCCAAAGCCCTCCTGTGCTCTTGGGATGAAACCTAGATTCATTTCCTTGGGCCAAAGGGCAAGGCCATTCCACCTCTCGCCCTCCGAGCTCTAGCTCCAGTGCCTTGTCAGTTTCTAGAATATGCCAGGCTCCCTCTCAGCTCTGAGGTCGGCTGTCCTCTCTGCCTCCAGCTGCCTTCTTCTCTTTCTTTGCAGAACCACCTATTCATACTTCAGTCCTCAGCTTAAAGATCACCTCTCCAGGAAAGCAGTCATGATACCCCAGGGTCTAGATGGGTCCCTCTGGCAAATGACTGCACAGCAGTGCTTTTCCTTCTTAGCACACATCACAATGGTCAGGAATAACTATTAGTGTAATTACCCGTTTCGTGTCTAGCTAGACTGTGGAGGGGAGAGACGAGGGAGAGACCAAGGCTGCCTTAGTGACCCAGGTATTCCCAGCGTGTGGTACAGGACTGGCCTGGCGTTGGTATAGTGGACACTGCACATGGCTCCCGGGTGTGGGTTCTGCCCCTGGTGAGTCCAGCCAGTGGTTCTCAAAGGGGATAGTACTGCCCCCTAGAGGGATTTTTGGATATTACAAAGCCTTTTTTTCTTTTTTTTTTTTTCTTTCTTTTTTTTTTTTTTCTGTCTATCACAATGATTCCTGGCTTTGCTTTTTCCCCTATCATACCGCACCCTACCCCAGCTCCAATCCATCAGAGTCAGCACAGGAAATGGAAATCTGTAGTGGGTGTAACTAATATTTCCATAGGAACATTCCAAGGGACTTCTGCCTTCCCTTGGCTTGTGTACAAGGAAAAGGGTCTCCCCACATCTGTTCTGCAAACCAGAAAAGCAACCACTGGTGATCTGACCCCTGGACACTTCCTGAGGCCTCTTTCTCATCCCAGCCTCCAATTTCCTGGTCTGGCTGATGTTCACTATCCTGGACTTCTCCATAATCAGATAACCGATCCCTGCAGACTTCATACTGAGGCCTAGTAACTCAATAGGGCCTCCTCCCGAGGGGACACTATCAGGAATTAAGTTCTAATGGAAAGTGTGGCTGAGACCTGACCTCCACTCCCCAATATATGTTCTCCCCTTCATCCATAGAAATTTTCCATAGCACTTTACTTGGGTACATGGTCACCCAAATAAAAACATTTCCCAGCCTCCCTCATAGCTGAATGTAGCCAGGAGACTAACTGATGACCAACAGAATATGAGCAGAAGGGCTGTGTATAACGGCCTGGATGTGTCCTTAAAGGGAAGGGGCACGCCTCCCTGGCCCCCTTTCCCCTCTGGCAGGAATATAGACAGGGGCGTGCGCCATCATGAACCACATTGTCAAAGGGAACTTCTGGGGATAACAGAGCAATGAAACAGGAGGAGCTGGGGCCCTGGACAGCCTGTGGGTCAGAGTCTTACCAGCTAGGACTGTCTACATTCAACTATTATGTGAGTGGAGAGACCATTATGCTTATACCAGTGTGTGTTAGGGCTTGTTTACAAACAGCTAGGTCTGCATCCCACCTGAGGCTTCAGGTGAGGGCAGCTCCTCGGGACCCCAGGCTACTCCAGCCCCACTGTAAAGGTGATAGGGCCGGCTTAGGAGCCATAGCCTGGAAGGAAGGGCTTGAGGGGCCTGTTTGCAAACTGAGTTTCATGCTTATTGCAGTATTTCAGGGCTGACAGAGGTAAGGGGGACGGGGACTAAAGCGCTCCCACTCACTCCATCCTGTAGTCACTGATGACAGGTGCTGCCTGATGAGCCCAAGGGAGAGGACACTGGCTGTCTTCTCTCCAGAGAGCCCAGGCCCAAGGTCTCCAGGACTGAATGAAATACTGTGTCTCAGAAGCAGTCACTGGTGTTCTTTGGGACACATCCAGCCTACAGACATGTTGTCTTTAATCAGTACAATGTTTTATAACAAAATTGTACCTTAAACATTAGAAGATTTTTCCATATACATCTGAATTTACAGCTTCTCTTGAAAAAAATCAGAGAAGGTGGCATCTGGGCCTAGATTTGCCACCTAACACTGACCATCTGGCACCTGTAAACCAGGTGTCCCCCCTCAGCTCACTCCCAGTAGGCATATATGATGTCCCCTCTGGCTTGATCTCAGTCCACCTGCCATGCTTCTGGAAGTGCGTGAGTTTGTGACCCCTGTCACTTATTTGTGGCCCTACCTTCCTGACCATTGAGGAAGGCATGCTTCTGATCCCCTCTTGCTGCTGGAGTTGGGCCAGTTCTCCTTCTCTGACCACATTCTCCTAATGTTAGCTGGTTCTTTGTGTTTCCCAAGACCTAAACATGCGGAGCCCAGGAGGCAAACAAACCTTGCCTCTCTGCTCAATGTCCTCGACCTTGAGAGGAACATTCTATATGAGTTAACAGGACTCCTTCAGGGCATATTTGCCAATGTCCAAAGGCTTCCAGAAGTATAGATGAGGCCTTCTTCCCTATCCCTTCACATTCATTTAAGAATACGTGTCCGGTGGATATCCCAATCCACCAGCTAGAATTGACAGGGGACCTGTGTGTCCAGCAAGAGGGTAGAACCCACGTGCAGTCCTGGTTCTGGCTACAGCCATGATTAGGGCCTGTCAGGGGAGAAATCCACAGTGAAATCCATAATGGAAACAGTCCTGGGCTTCTGTGCTGGGCTTCTGTCCTAGGCCACCCTTTCCTAGCGGTGTGACCTGAGGCATGTGATTGGACGTTTCAGTGTCTGTTTCTGCTTCTGTGTAATCAAGAGAACGAGGACATTTTGCAGTGGTGTTGGGAGGATTAAACAAAACACTAGCAACTCCAGCACAGCACACATCCACAATAGATGTGAATGCTCTGTCTGCTAACATCCCATGCTAGTGGACAAATCTGGAAAGAGACTAGTATGCAGGAAGTAGAGAAAGAAAGTGAGTTTGGCCTGGGGAGAGGGACTGAAGAGGTTTGTGGGCTACTGGGGTGTCACCAGAGGAATATTTGTTCCCGGAAAGAGAAAGTACCCCAGTGAGGGCCACTGCCAGCCATCAGGCAGGTGGCCAAATGCTTTCACCTCAGAAGGGACTGCTCTAGGAGGGGCAGCCAGAGAAGACAGGCCCAGTGTCCCTAGGGGCAGACAGATGGCCACCCACCACTCAGCCTGTTGTGTCCAGCCTGGCAGGACAGTGGATGGACAAACAAAGCTGAGGATAGACTTGACCAAGCAAAAAAGACATTGATGGATGTATACAATTATTTCTTAGTACATGTACAATATATGTTAATAATAATGATTATCATAATAAATTTATGTAAAATTATATGTAATAATAATTATTATAGTTAACATTTATTGCTTGCCTGGCTGTTCGAAGTGCTTTATATGGACTAACACATAAACTCTCCAGAATCATTCCTCCAAAACAGGTACAAGCTACTGTTATCAACACTTTACAGATAAGGAAACTGACACAGAACGGTTAAGTAACTTGCCCAAAGCCACACAGCTGGAAAGTGGCAGACCTGGGATCCCGAGTTCAAGATGCAGACAGTTCTTCTCTCCCTCTTGTTCAATGCTGTTATCCCACTGGACTGTGACTCAGGCTGCCAGCTAGCCGCTCTTCTGAGCCCCCGCCCAACTTTTACTTTCTCCTAGACTGGCTAAGCTTGGGATCCACAGTTACACGACCCCCTCCCTGGAAGTTCCAGAGCACCTGCCATACCCACCACAGGTTGCCCACCTCAGTGCCACGTGACCATTGCCCTGGTCTTGGCTTATCAGAATCTAGGCAGCCACCATAGCCCTGTCAGAGCTATGAGCTGGCCCGGAATGAGGGTACTGCCTGGAGGGAGCATCCTGCATCAACTGGTGACTGATTGGTCCCATCAGATATAGACAGGGTGAAGCAGAGAACAAGGGCCCCCTGAGATAAGAAAGCATCTGCAAGACTGGAACATAAGGGCTGAGGATGTCTGTGCTTGGGTGAGCGAACAGCAGTAAGGACCATGCACGTGATGTGGCAGGATGAGAGAAGTCAAAGTGCAGACTGAGGGGGGCATCAGAGTCTCAGCCAGGCCTGGATTCAAGTCCTGTCCCTCCACCTTTTCTTGCTTGTCTTTGGTAAATCCAAGCTAAAGCCAGAGGTAGATAGTAGAGTGGTTAAATCTGGGGACATTGTGGGGGCTCAGGAGCCAGATACTTAGACTCGAATCATAACCCCACCACTTGCCAGTGTATAACCTCAGGCAACTTACTTAACCTCTTCATGTCTCAGTTTCCTTATCTGTAGAACAGGAGTGATGACAGTTGCTACCACACATGCTTGCTAAGGGGATTGAGGTGTATGTGTCTACATGTAAGTGCCTGGTACAAATTATAACTGGGTCATGATGTAGCTTATATTAACGTTCTAGTTAGAACAGTATCTGCCATAAAATAACCATGGTGTCAGTTAAACAGATCTCTTTCATAGGACTGTTGGTGGGATTTTAAAGAAACACCATCTGACAATGGTATGCTTTTGTGCTTAGCAAATGTCCAATCCCTCTCTTTGTGAGGAACACGCATTTGAAACCCCAGAATCCTCCATCTTTTGGTCAATTGTTTCACACTGTGCTCCTGCAGCCCTGCACTCCCCCTACTCTGACTCAGCCTCTTGCTGGGGACCCCAGGCACCGCCCTCCCTGGCTGGCTCAGGTCTGAGTGCCCTGGGTGTGGGCAGCACATGGTATGCTCTCCACAGCACTTTCTTATTCATGCGCCAAGGATGCTGAGAACAACAGAGGGCACTGATGAGGGGTTGGGGGTGGGGACGCTGTGGCCACTATGTGACCTTGGCCAGGCTCCTGCACTTCTCTGGGCCAATATCCTCGTCTTTAAGGGGGGATAATATCCCTGCCCTTTGCCTCACAAAGCTTCTGTGAGCTTGAAATGAATGTCTACGTGCACAAAGGGGCTGAAAGTGTGGCTACAGGGCATTATAATCATGTAACCAAAGGAGGGGCTTTATGGGACAACAGATGAAGAGCCTCGGAAGAGCAGACCCAGCCCAGCTGGGGAGGGAAGGGCTTCCCAGACTGGTGTTTTGCTTTGAGCTGCATCCCTGAGACCAAAGTCTTCTGTGTAATCATTCACCAAGCTGACCCTGCCAGGGAGAAGGAGAGTGAGCAGGCCTGAATGTCATGGGGAGGCCAAATTTGGACATGGGTTAGGAGCTTGGCTAATGCAGGAGGTGAAATGTGCCCAGGGGCTGGGGGAGGGGAGGAACTGCATTCCCCAGGACGGCCTGGCGGTTTCAGTGATGACTAGGGGTGGGGGCTCCAGTCAGTCTCTTCCTAGGCTCAGGGGCTCATGACGGATTGGCACAGAAAATGTACTTCCTTTTCCCAAGGTGAGCTGTGCGCTCTGGGCCCTGGAAAGGGGGAGCCTACCCCGAAGAGTCAGGCAGCAGGCAAAAGGCAGGTGGGGGTGGGGAGAGGGTCCAGCCAGGGATGTGTAAATGGGAGGATGCAGGATGGGGGGAACTGCTCCACACACAGGCCCTTGGGGCTGAAATAACAAAAGCCACACCAGCGGCACTTCCTGTACTTCTGGGGTTAGAAAGTGCCTGCCATCTATTATTCATTCTTTCCTTTCTCCAACCAGAGGTCTGAGCCTAGCCTGGGTGAGGGACCATGAGGTAGGAGCCTGGTGTATTGAGTGTATGGGGATGCAGAGGGGGCATGTGGTCAGGGAAGGTGGAAGAAAATCTGGTTCAGGCTGAGTGGAAGCCAGAGACAAAGCCCCTGACAGCAGGGGCTGCTGCAGCTGAGTGTACATGTGTGCACCTGGGGAGGGCACCATTCACAAAGCCTACTCAGCCCCCAGGTTCGGGGGCTGTAAATGGGAAAGAGGTGCTGGGGTGGGAGGAGGCTGCTTCACCCACAGAGTGCCTGTCCTCCCTCCCCTCCATTAAGGGGCTTTTTACAGTATGAATGGTGTCCCCTGGAGTTGTGCAACAGGAGCCCAGAGCCCTCAACCAGGCTACTAAACAGGGCCACTGACCTGACCTGCCCAGAGCTGAGGATGCAGAGAGGAAGCATGAAAGACTCCCATGTCCTCCCTGCTGGAAACACCTGGATAAAGCTCATTTCCAGAGGCCATGTGGGAAACTGATTGAGAGCAGGTCAAAGCAGCATGTTAGAAGAAAAAGCACAGCTGGAGTGCCGCCACCACCCTTTTGGCCCCTGCTCTTGGTGCACACTGCTTTCCAGGCCTCAGGACCATTCTCCAACTCCTCCTTGAGCTCTGCTCTGGCCCAACAAATCCAGAAGCCCTGAATCTCACACCCGGGAGAGTGTACTCATGACATGACCCCCTGCACATGCTGAGCTGGACACAGGGCCTGTGCTTTCAGAGCTTCTATTCCTTGGAACATCACAGGTGTTCCAACGCTCCAGGCTGTGCATGTGCTTGGGATCATATGTGCAGATGGCATCTGTGAACAGGTGTATCCAGGAGCTTGTGGAACTGAAAGGGAATGTCTGTGCTGAATGGCCAGAAACCAACTAATGCTATGATTTCTGGAAGCCTGGGATGTAGTTAGAAGTCAGATCTCTGGGGAGAAGGGGAGTGGCAGGTAGTGGAGGCTGAGAGGAAAACCCGCAGGCTGGGTGGGAGGTTCACACTCTTTCCCCCTCGTTCTTCTCCCCCAGTATGGTTCCAAGCCCAAAGACCCAGCTGTGTAGATCCTAGCTCTGCTTGGTCCTGAAGGGGTTCCTGGAGAGCAGACAGGGCCCATCCCTCAGCTCCTGGAGGAAAAGTCAAGTCATAACTCTATGAAGGTCCTCCTGTGGGAGGTCCCAATCTGATAGGGGAGTAGCTTTCCTGCTCAAGGAGGCCTCACTCTGATGACAGAAACCAGATATGAACCCACCTCCCTCCATCTACTGGTCCGCTGGGGGCAGGGGTTGGGGGCAGAGAAAGTCTCTAAAGGTTGGTGCTGTGACAGCTGTGCCCAGCTGCTAAATTTCCCCCATCCTGTAAAAGGGTAGGGTGCCTCTGCCTCCAGTGGCTGCCAGCCTGCCAGGCCAGCCTCTGAGAGAGAGCAAAGGGCCAGGAAAGCAGCCAGGCGCAGACCAGGGCGGGAAGAGAGCTGGGTTATAAATAGGCCTGGGACCAGGCCTTCGGGGAGAAGGCGGAGAGCCCTGCAGTACAGCGCTTCGCCGCCTGCAACGCGGAAAGACCTCTTTTCAGAGATCCCGAAAAGGTGAGAGGAGAGATGCTGGTCCCACTTTCCTGGCCTACCTCAGTGCCAACCCGGGCTGAGCTTCCAGGAGAAGCACCAGTCAGGCACATCTCTCCTTCCAGCCTCAGTTTCCCTCTGAGTCGCCCTCTGCAGACCTGTGTCGTTGCAACACTCAACGTCAGTCTGGCGGGGCCAGAAAGTCTCCTGTCTCTCAGCTCCAGGTGCTCTCCAAGGTTGAGAGCTGCGGCGTCACCTCCTCTACCCAACCCCGACCCCCGGCGGGGGCGGCCGGCCCCTCCTACCTGCAAACACAGCAGAGCAGTAAGCATCGCTGATGTCGGTGTCGGGTGTGTGGACGTTCTCAGCATAGAGGATGAAGACCCTCAGCATGCCTGGTGCGTGTAGGGCCCCGTGCGCCCAGGGCGCAAAGAGGGCTCGGAAAGGTCGGGAGGGCCGAGGCCCCGCTTGTGGGTCCCCTAGCTGGAGAGGGTTGGCTGGGCGAGGTCGGCTCGGATCTCCGGCTCCTGGCTCAGAGCTGTTGCTCTTAAAGGGGAACGGGCCACCCCCGGCTGCTCCAGTGGGCTAGGCTGGGTACCCACCCACGCTGGGCTCACCACGCTTGTCAGTCGGCGTTCCGAGAACAGGGGCTTCTCCTCATCTTCCACCCCCGCCGCCCTTCCCCAGCTCCGACGAGCTGTAATCTAATGCTCCGGCTGCGGAGTCTCCCAATGACACGGCATTTTGCACCTGGCTGGGCGGCGGCCGCGATGACCCGGGGCTGGACCAGGGCTCCGGGCGCCCGGCGTAGCCCAGATCTCGCTCTTGGACAGGAGAAGGGCTCGGCTCCTCCCCCGAGCTTCCACCCCTGGCTGAGCGCTGCGCCAAGTCGGTTGCCTCCTTCCGCCTCGGGGATTGGAGCAGTCTCTCCAGAACCCAACCCAACCGCCTTTCCGTAAGAGAAGCCTGGAGCTGAGAATTTCATTGACAAGCAAGGCAGCTGTCTTAAAAACTTTGTCCCCTTTTTCTGGCTTTGAAAGCAGCACATGCCATTTTAAAACAAAAAGCATAAAGAAAGAAATCTCTGGTTCTGAAAAAAATAGTATATGAACATTTGGGTATTTGGCAGCCCAGGCTTTCTCCTCTGAATGTATATACACATGTAAACTGCAGTATTTATTATGTATCTGAGTGTAGAATGCAGTCTGTGTCCCACGTTTTCATGTAACATCTTGCATCATTCAAAAATTATTCATAAAGAATATTTTCAGTAACTATATAATTGTCTGTCATATGAATGTACTAGATTCACAAACTTTCTCTTCTTTCACATTTAGGCTCTCCCCAGATTCTATTATAATAGTGAGAAAGAGAGTTTCTTTTTAATAAAAAAATAGATATAAACTCATCTTAGCCCCCCTCCCTCGCCGCCCAGTTCTTCAGATTAGATTCTAAGGTCATAGGATATGACTTTTTTTAGGTTCTAGTACCTATTGCTAAACTGCCTTCCTGCAGATATGTAGATCCACACTCCCGGCAGCCGTGACTCACCTTCTAAAGAGGGCCAGTTGGATGGGTGTGCAGCTGTCAGCAAAACTCCCACAGCAGCCCATGGGGGCAGCAGACACACCCAGGGCAGGATGGGCTGGCCGCTGACAGGTGGCTGATTTTTCCCCATAGGGAGATACCAGAAAAGAGCAACACTCCCCAAAAAGGTCTATAATTTCAAGGTTAGGGTAGCAAACATTTCCTGTGGTCACTCAGGGTCCTTCTGTAGTGATCTATGCCTTCTTTTCTTTGCATTTAGCACAATGTATGGTGGGGAGAGGAAGAGGAAGGGGGAAGCTGAAATTCAATCATTCATTTAATGGGAATGTATCAAGTTCTAAAATAAGTCAGGCCCTGTCCTGGATGGGGGACACAGTGGTGGGCACAAGTGACACAGTACATGTTATGGGCTGAATTAGGTCCCCTCAAAATTTCTGTGTGAAAGGCAACTCCAGTACCTTGGAATGTGATTCTACTTAGAGATAGAGCCTTTAAAGAGGTGAACAAGTTAAAGTGAGGTCATTAGGGTCATCCAATCTGACCAGTGCCCTTATAAAAAGAGGAAATTTAGATACAAAGACAAAGCAGGGATGCACGCACACAGAGAAAAGGCCATGGGAAGACACAGGGAAAAGGCGGCCATCTGCAAGCCAAGAAGAGAGGCCTCAGAAGAAACCAAGCCTGCTGACTACACCTTGATCTTGGACTTCCAGCCTCCAGAACTGTGAGAAATAAATTTCTGTTATTTAAGACCCCCAGTCTGCAGTACTTTGTTATGACAGCCCTAGCAAACGAGTAGAGTCCCTAACCTCAAAGAGCTTCCAGTTCAGTGAGTGAAACTGAGTTATGGAATAAACACGTCAGTCACATACCATTACAAATATGTAAGTGCCATAAAAGACAGAAAATGTGGGAGTGTGAGAACAGAGAGCAGGGAGTCCTCATCGAGTGCCCAGGACAATAAGAGCTATTTGAGATAAGATCTGAAGGCCAGCTAGGAGTTCACTGGGCAGGACTGAGGTGGGGGCAAGAAAGAGAGTATTCCAGAGAGAAAGAAGGAAGCGCTCTGTGTCAAGGTCACGGGAGGAGAGGAGTGTAGATTAAGGGGTTGTGGGATGGGGCAGGCAGGCTGGAGGGCACCATGCAGGGCGTGGGGGAAGCTTCCTGAGGCCTGCTAAGTCTAGAGGAGTGACAGGATCTGATTTACGTCTCAAAAGCTCCCTTTGGCTGCCCTTGGAGAACACAGTGCAAGGGATCAGAGTGGAAGTGAAGAGTTAAAAGCTAGAGCAGAGGGTCAGGGTGAGAGTTTATGGTGACTTGGACCAAGGTTGTGAAAAGGGGGATGGCGCAAAGTAAGGCAAGGCTAGGAGGAAGAAAGGAAATTCTGCAAGAGCTGGTGAAGCAATCAAATTTCCCACTACAGAACTTGGCCATTATGTGTTGCTGGAGAAAACAGCTTTGGCTTGGATGTGGTAATTGATTGACTCATTCATTCATTCATTTACCAACATTTATTGGTACCTTCTCTGTGGCAAGCACTTTTCAGATTCAAGTTTTAGAGAAAGATACCAAGGAGGGAGTAAAATTTAACTGCTTTGGGAAGAAGGGCAGGAGGCCCTGTTGATGTAGGGAAAGCCCAAATTATGGTCTATTTTTGAAGAAGTACAGTTTGGCTCTATTCAGATGTATAAAGTAACATGAACCTGCTCTGTGGCAGAGCTAAAATTGGACCTAAGAAGTGGCTAGCTGCTTGCAAATATGGTGTGGCTACAGTGATTTGAAAAGAGCCAGTTTTCCTTATAGGTTAAACACCTTCCTCGCAACTTCACTACTTTATTCATACAGAAGGCTGTCTTCAAACTTTTTCTGTCTGTGCAGCAATAAACCTCTAGTGAGCATGTCTGCCCCCAAATTGTAGGACACATTTGGGGTATCTTCTCTATTTAAAAGAACCACTTTCTCTGAGACTACCCAACCTGAATCAATCACATTATCTCCCAAAAATGTGGAATTGGGACTGAGAGAAGCTAGCTTCTGTGTGGCTGGAGCTGAGATGAATAAAATGGGAGGTTCAGAGGGGGCCCCGTGCATGGAGAAGTGGAGAAAGTTCCGCAGTCAGAGAAAAAGAGATCACATGTAGGGGGCGAGGTGGGGAAATCAAGACCCAGAAAGAGAGCCTTCTGGTTGTTGTTCCTGGCTCTCATTCCTTGAGTTTCCCTGCCTGTGAGTGCTGAGATACCTCTTGTCATGGATATTTGTCCTTTCTGGCTTCCAGCTTTTAATCTCCCTCTTCCTAAAACATCCTTTTCCCACCCCTCATGAGTGGTCTTGGTGGGCAGAAGTGCCTGCCTTTTTTCTGGAAGCTTCAGAGCTAGGGCCTCCCTCTCTGTGTCACTGGGCAGTGTGGCCCAGGCTCAGACAGTTGGATGCTCTCTCCCAAGACTTGAGACAAGTTCTTGAGCTTCAGGAAGTCAGACATGGCAGCTGCCATGTGACAGCAAATGACCAGGTATGGCGCCTGCTGTCCAAGTCCTGTCCATAACCAAAGCCAAGTTCTCCAACCTCCCTCCATTCTGTGAGCCCCCCAGAGCTCTTCTGAAATCCTCTCTTGTTTCAGATATCCAGGCTTGGCTGCTGTAGCTAGCAGCCAGGGATCCAGACCAACATGTCCAGTGTCTTTATAGTGAGTTGTTGCACATTTTACTTAGGGTAACTTGAAGCACAATTCTTTTTATTTTTTTTAGAGACAGTCTCCCTCTGTCACCCAGGCTGGAGCACAGTGGCAAAATAGCTCACTGCAACCTCCAACTCCTGAGCATGAAGCACAGTTCTGTTTCTTGCTATAAAAGAACAAGTTCTTGTGGCCCTGGTGACACTTTGATCTTGAGTTTCTGGCCTGCCAAACTGTGATAATAAATTTGTTTTTAAGCCACCATGGTTGTGACAATTGGTTAGAGCAGCCACAGGAATCGAACACACCAAGGCTTTGTCAACACAACCAACCTGTTAAAGAGGGCTGGTTTTCAGGCCACTTTTACTACTTTACTGTTTCAGGACAGAAACAAAGGGGAGGGAGGTGGCTCTCCAATTTCACTGAGAAACTAAGGGACAAGTTTGATACTATTTTCCAACAGAAAATAGAAAAAACAAACAACAACAACAACAAAAAAACCAGAAGAGATTTTTCACCAAAGAAGTAATGTGAACACACTACATTATTTCTATGTTCTCTGTCTTCTGCCAAAACCACAGATCCTTGCAAAGCTTGCTAAGAACCATAGACCCTGGTAACAGCCTGGTCATCTCATCTGCTTCCCCTAAGAAGAAAAACTCATGGTAGTCTCAGAGAGTTTCAATTTCCCAAGAATCTACCATAATAAACAGTAAACAATAAATAGAAACTATTTTCTGTTCAGGCATGGCTGCTGACACAATGGAAAGGAGTGAGCTCAGCATGAAGGTGCAGGGGTTTCCTGAAAGCCCTCATTCCCCTTGTGCAGGGTGTGAAGAGCAGCCTATCTCCTGAGCTGCAAGAGCACAGCTCTGGGACTAATGTGAACAGGTCAGCCTGTGTGCACAGTTTTCCTTTTGGATTTAGTTCAGAATGTGAGGAGTCTCTAGAGAGCATGAGGGAAAGCCTACACACACAGTGATTGTTAGAAGAGCCACTCTTTCTTCTTGAGCTGGGACATTCATCTCCTGCTTTTGGACATCACAGCTGAGCTCCTGGTGGCCACCCCACCTCCATTCCCAACGTGTGACCTTTTCTGATTCTCCAACACGCAAATGGCATATTGTAGGACTTCTTGGCTTCCATAATAGCATGAGTCAAATCCCATAACAAATAGAGATTTATTTACTCTGTTTCTGCTTCATTTTACTCTCTCTGTACACATACACCTCCTATTGGTTGCTCCTCTGTAGAACCCTGATTAATACACACACAGAAGGCTTCTGAGAAGTGAGGGAGATCCAAACCTGAGAAGTGAGGGCAATAAGACTAAGGAACAGGAGTTTAACTTCTTCCCAAAGTAGGGTTATCTCATCTTCTGGAAGAGGCCACAACATCCCACAGGATGCAGCAATCCTAGCAAATGTGAGGAAACCTGTTCTAGGCTCCAGCAGTGAGAAGAGTCAGGTGCTGGTGATGGCTGGTTCCTGGCAAGGGTACAAAATGAAGGCACGGGCAGAGCTGATGCAGGCAAAAAGAGCAGGTTTGAGTGTCCCTATTGCATGTCTCAGGGAAAAGAGGGGCCAGAAAGCTTTCTGCAGCTCACACCCCAAAGGACTCCTGTTGATTCATGGGAAGACATCACCAGAAAAGGCCTAAAGAACATCTTTAGGAGTTAAGAGGGCAACAAATGTCTCACTTTGTTTTCCTCTTGGCTGACGGCCAGGACTTTGGAAAAGGGGCACCAAGAGAAGTGAATATTTGACTTAGTGTTTTTTGTTGTTGTTGTTTTTTATAGAGACAGGGTTTTGCCATATTGCCCAGGCTGGTCTTGAATTCCTGGGCTCAAGCAATCCTGCCTCGGCTTCTCAAGTGCTGGGATTACAGATGTGAGCCACTGCAACTGGCCTAGTGTTTCTTAAAGTACTATGAATCTAAAGGTCTCCTCCATCAGAATCTTCTTGTAAAAAATGGAGACACCTGGGTCCCCCTCCACTCCCAGACCTACTCAATCAAAATCTGGGAATGGCCCAGGAATCTGGCTTTTAAAAGTTCTCACT